CCGCTGCCTCCACTTCGAAGTCGGCTTGGAATAATTCTTGGCGGATATCCACGAGTCTGTCTGCCGCGTTTTTCGAGTTGCACCGATTTTCCAAGTATTAGTCGACCTACCTAGACGGTATAAATTGAGAGAGAGACAGAGAGGCAGAGAGAAGGGGAAAGGGGGGGGGAGGGAGAAAAGAGGCATTTGATCGATGTTCCGCAAATATACGATCCGCGCGATGAATTCGAGATTCTATTTCGGTAATTGGAGCCTAATCTGGCCTTCAATATTTGACAACTGTGCGATGTTTGTTAGCCGTTCGAAAAGCGATAATAGCTATCAACACTCGTGTTTGCGTTGTATTGGAAATCTCGCGAGGTACGTGCATGTTTTTCGCGATTGGTGTGCTCGCCTTGCTCGAGTGTGCTTATCATTAACATTCGAGCGAGAGATCAAGATAATCGAGTAATCAAGTAGCTCGTAGGACGTATCATCCGAGAAGAAATCTATAAACGGCGACGAAGAAAACGAAATAATATATCGAATATTACGTTACAAATTGTAATATCATACTTCGAAAGAAAAGCGCCAATGTCCATTAGCATTCGAATACGGTACTCATCGACCATTTTAATCTCAAGATTTTTAGAACGTCTACCCGTCAGATATAGATATATTCTTAAAATTACATTGGCTCTTTTCCGACTGAAGTTTCCGGAATGGTCAGGCCACAGAGCTTCCTTTTTCTTCTTCCAAGAATCCGAGAACCGAGAGTTAATCACTGAATTTTGTTCAATGTTGATTGTAGGTAGGGCACTCGTCTCCCCCGCCACCAGCGCCGGGTTCGGGCTCTGATCCAGGAGATCCGTCGTCTCCCAGATCCGTTCAGAAGGAGAACTCGCCGCCTCGTGGCCCTCGAACCCTCCTGCTTCGGCGCAGCGAGAACGGCTATGGATTCACGCTGCGGCATTTCATCGTCTATCCGCCCGAGTCCTGTTGCGTAAGTATATCGCCTCAGCATCAGATAAAGACCCGTGACTAAAGTCCGAGAATAAAATGTGAATGACTTTTTGCGCGTTGCGCAGATGCTGCCGGGACATGAGCGGACCAAAATCGACGAGCCCATGGACACGATCTTCGTGAAGCAGGTCCGGGCGAATTCGCCGGCGGCCGAAGCGGGATTGCGCACCGGCGACCGCGTCGTCTCCGTCGACGGGACGCCCACCCGGGGCGAGCAGTACGTCAGCGTGGTGCAACGCATTCAACAAGCGGGACCGTGGTTGCGTCTCCTCGTAGTCTCGAAGGAGGATGATATTTTGCAGAGAGTAAGATTCTCGCGAAATAATGGATTTCTGTCATTTGTCATGTGCTTTATAAAATCAGCGCTCTCGTGTCTTATTTAACGCTCATTGATTTACTTTATTTTCAATGCGATTCAATATTTTCCCCGCATGCGCTTTTACTACCGCTACGAGAAGAGCAAAAGGTTACAACACAAAGAAATTCTTTCTGAACTTTATAGTACTTTGGCGAGACGGCGCATAATCCCGAGACGAATCAACGGCCGCGGTTGCGCTCTCCGGAGAGGCTGTCGCAGAAGCAACGCAGATCTATCAGCAGTATGATTCCGGGTGAATCGCCGAGAACACGACAGTCCTGGGTCTGTTCTCTGCCGTCATCTGATAGTCCGAATCATCATGAGGAGACGATGTGTAGGATGCCGCCGACAGCGATGTCTCAGGTTCCGATCGTGGAACCTCAGATTGCAAGCGCATTGCAGCAGCAGCAACAGCAGCAACATCAACGAAGAGGTCTTTCGGAAGCGAGCGCGTATGATCTTTCCGAAGAATCCAAAGTTCCTGAAAGGAAGTTGCAATTGCTGGATAATATACAACCAGGCGGCCGATTATCCCAGGACTCGAAGTACGATCTGTACGATAGAACGCGACCCGAGTCGGTGTACTCGCGGCCGAGCAACGAGCAGCTTTACGACAGGATCAACGACCCGATTTACGAGCGAGTGCGCGTCAACGAACATCATCCGCAGCATTATTATCAGCCATCTCTGTTGCGTTATCCGGTCTCGCAGGCGGAACCACAGGTGCCGATCTACCGGCCGATCAAACGAATGGTGGCACGACGCGCTAGCGAGGGCAGTGGCAATACCCTCGATTCCGAGACGACGAGCTACAGTAGCATCGACGCGCTAAGATCAAGCGAGTCCAGCAGATTGAGTATCGAATCCAGACGGGACTCGTCGCTTGCCGCCAGCAAGGACAGCATGTCTCCCTACGACTCCAATTCGACTCTGACCGGCAACGAATGCTCTGACGATTCCGTCATCATGAACAGACTTCGCAAGAGCGTCGAACAGAAAGCGGAGTTCCTTCGGCGACCGAGTCACCCTATTGGCTGGTCCATCGAGCCATCGTCATCACTGCTGCCGGGCTTCAACCAAGCAGTAATTCAAAGAGAATTCTATGCAAGACCGCAGAAGCTGCAGAGACCGATCTGGCCACCTGGACAAAACGAACAGCAGAGGCAGCAATCACCCACGAGACGATCTTCTCAGGAAAGAACCGTCGTTCCTAAGACTGTCGCCAATCTGATAAACAAGCCATCGAATCAGAGTGTACAGAGGATAAAGGATGTAGATTCTAATTCGGAATATTCGAAGCCTCGGAATGATCAACAGCATGAGGAGAATCAATCCGTCATTGGGGATCACTGTTATTCGTCGCTTTCCTATGACAATGAGCTCGCGAAGGACCAGCAGTACCGAGGCACGAGTAAAGGTAGCTTCGTCAGCATCTTGTCGAGGATACACGAGAACATTAGCATGAATCAGCAACAGACATTGCAAGAAACGCGAAACGGTTCCTCATCGCTACCATCTTCTCCGGGACCGGACAAAAAGGCCGGCAATGACGCCAGGTTCCCGATGCCGCAGGGCCTGCAGATCGTCTCGAGACGCGCTAAGCAGTTCGAGTCTGGTCGTCTGATGAGCGACGAAGACGAGCCAGCTGGCGATCGGACGAATCTTTACAAGAGCGAATTGTCTAGATTGTCGAACAAGAGAAGTGTACCGAACGTGGCTGTGCGAAAACGAGAATTCGAGTCCAAAGCCGAGAATCAAGACTCGAGGAGAATACCGACCAGAGAAACCAAGTCTCTCGACACTGGTAAGTCTCAATTAAGCACGACGGGATCGTCTCTCTCTGTTTTCTATCTCTCCATCTGAGAAGATTTTCTAATCCTTGATATAAATAATTCTGTCGTTCTAATTTTTAATTTAGCACTCGATAGAAAAGCCTTCGCATCGATCTAATATTGTTAATTATTATCCGCATTATAATTCACTGTCGACGCTTCGATGATAATCGTTAATTTCGCGATTAATCAAGAATATATGAAATTAATATTCTACAATAGTCGAATCAGTACTCAGTAAACAAGTGTCGTCGTCTAGGTGCGGTATTGACAGGCAACAGAATAATTCCTATAGGCAGCAAGCATATCCATTGCGAGCCACCAGCCGACTATAAAGAGAGTAAAGGTAGATAACACTCAGAAGCTGTATCAAATATTGTTTGTGCAGTGTCGTCTTGTGCCGCGCTTGTATTGTCAGTGTGAACGTGATCGCGATATGCGCGTTAATAATAACTCGTATTGCTGTCATCAATATGATAGACGATATAATAATTAATGCACATTTCTCACTCCCTCGCTTCTCACGCTCTAACAAAGACGAAAATAGCTATACACATCTTCATATTCTTAAATGATAAGGTAATATAAATAAAGTTGCAATTAATTTTAAATAATAAATCATCGTTCAGAGCCGCGTTTGACAGAAAACGCGCGAGATTTACTTCCAAGCAGAAGTAACCGGATAAAAGCTGCGGTACATCGGAATTTGTCGATATAGCATTATGCACAAAGGAGACATTAACTGCTCCCTTGCACCCGGTGTTTTTGTTGCTGAGCTTCTTATGACATGTCGGTTATTTAAAATAGCAACAACGTATCCGCTGGTGCTTCTATATAGCGACAACAACATCGCATACCCGCTATATATACTCTACCCGATTATTAACAATGCGAGTTAGATGTCGAGTTTAGCTTGTCCGTACAAAAAATACCACCATAACGATGCTATAATAATCGCACCGTGTAATCGAGCAGAGATGCCTACTATGGAGATAGAATCAGTGCGTTTGAGAGCACGCAGCAACAGCGCGGAATCTTGGGAGGCTACGAATGGTCCAGCGGTACGAAGCAACGCCAGGCATACATGGCAGACCGCCGAGGAGGAGAGCAACACCGAGGACAACAGCAAAGCCTACCGAAACCAGGAGAATTATCTGCAGTCGGCCAAACTGCAAGTCGGTTAGTCCCTTTGGCTCTACTACTACTCCTGTTTTACAGATATACACATCGTCACTCACACATATCTACGTTACATAAAGGTCGAGCATAAAGCGTTAATAATCATCCCATTGATTTCTCTTTCAGCACCAGTCAATGGTTCTTCACCCAACGGTTCAACTAATAATGCCGCGGTGCTTAGGCGACAGAAGAATGCACAGATCAGTGAGTTTAAACGATGAGGATATTTTTAACATTACATGCAATTATTACGACGCATGCGTCGAGTACGACGAGGACGCGTTTTATCGCGAAATTACAAGTACCCGCGCTAGCATCGAAGAGAATCTATGTAATAAGTCAGTTATTTAAAGAAGTCGCGGCGATATGATACAATTATAATTTAGCGCAATTATAACTCCGATGAAATCTACACAAGAAGATTATTATTATTTTTATACCTTATACACGTACTTTGAAATGGTATCATCGTCTTAAACTTAACTCTTTTATTTATGATTCAAACAATTTGGCCTAATGGTAACCTTCATCAGCAAATATCCATGTAATTATATAAAGTCAAAATTTTGAAATTTTATGAAACAAGAAAATTTTATAATCGATATAATTATAATTTAACAGGTGACGAGGATCGCGCTACCAGACGAGTTTCGTATCTGAAGGCGACATGGGGTGAGCGAATGCACGTCGACAGCGATTTAGAGCTCAGCGATTCTGAACCCGTTCTCATTCATAGAAGGTAAATAGTTTCGCGCATTTGATATTCGAAAGTGCTGATTTCAGTCCATCGATCTCTCTTTTTTTTTTAAACGCGGAAAAATATTGTATTTTTCCTTCCTATCTATCTATTCGCAAGGTTTGCACGTGCAAGGTGAAATAGCGAGCAACGTAATAATTTTGTTCGCTCAAAGATGTTAATTGTAAGTATATCTAGAAGCTGCACCTGTTCGTGTACATGTTTCTAGTGCGCATAGACGATGGCGGCCACCGTTATTTCCGAGCGACATAACGCCTTTACGACGCATCTTTGAGGATATGACGCAGGCCGCGTCTTTACATCGAAACTCTCATCATCGGTGAGGGCGAAAGATTCCGTTTGAGAAGCACGGAATTCGTTGCATTATCTATGCTCTGCGTTTCTTCCTCTAAGCTAATGTACATCCGCCCTCGCTCTTACTCGTCGCTCCTGTATATGTTTGCGCTATGTACCTGCCTGTAAACGGTAGCGAGTGACGAGTAAATCGCGTTGCAATGTCGATAGAAGCATGAGAATTGTACGCATTTCATGTATCGTCCTCTAGCAATATTACAACAAAACATTAAGACTCATAAGAAATCATTGAAAAAGATTACATGGTAAGATAAAATGAAATTAAAAATGGAAGGCTTGTTTTTGTCTGTTTTTGTCTGTGAAAAAAATGAAAAAAAAATGCTTCAAAGGATATTGAAATATATATTCAGAGAAAACAAAGTTTTTAAATGAGCAAGAAACAACTCGATTAAAAATCAAACAGAGAATACGAGAAAAGCGTAATATCAACAGAGCTGATAATTTCCCAATAGAGATATAAAACTGAATATATCACGGCCTCGCAATTCGTACGCGTTAATTGCACGCGAGTGGCGTTAGATAAGATATCCTTATTTATTATTCCTACCGCGATAAGGGATATACATCCATAAATGCATAAAATACGACACATTTCTGTTCGTGATTCTGACATTAAAGTCATGTTGTGTGGTCGTCCGTGCTGCTTTGCTATTCTAGATTTTCTGATATTAGAGATGGATATGTTAGTGTCCTTTCGGATATTGGCTGATTGTTACTAATGGAATGACACTAATAAGTTGAAAATCGATGTGAACGCTGTTTTCAATGTCGTTTTTTCGATTTGGGAGAAAGATGAGAATAGATGAGAAATGTAATTGTAAATAATATGGTAAAACTTTTCTTCCGCTGTCTCTGAAATTAGAGATAGTCGTCATTGCATCACTCTGAAATAGAAAGTATTGACATTTGCAGGCGACGGATATAAATAGTTTCGTTTCTTTTCCAGTAATAGCATCGCAGTAACGCATAATACATCAAACAGCTGCGATGGAACCGCGAAGGATGTCGAACCGGTGGAACGAGAAGGAACACTTCATGTTAAATTTACAGTGCTCGACGGCAAGGTAAGATCACAAATTCGCTTCTAGTGAATTCTATTTGGAAAATACATTTGAATAAACTTATTCTTTAACTTTTACTTAATAATATTTCAGCGATCTACTGATCGTTCCTGGAAGCAAGTCTGGGGTGTTCTCCGTGGTCCTATAATATATTTTTATAAGGATCGTCACAGTCAAGTAAGCAGCATTCAAACATTATTATTTGTATATCCACCCAATGTTCTAAATAACAGCATGTTTTACTAATGCAATATTTCAATTCTTGCTATAGAGTCCTTCGTTGAGTACCGAGAGCGAAACAAATGCGGGACAAAGTGTCGATGTCAGATGTTCTGTAGTCGACGTCGCCGAAGATTACACGAAGCGGAAACATGTGTTGCGAGTGGCGAACCCGACGGCAGAGGTGCTTTTACAGACTGAGGACGCGGCTTCTATGGCCCTCTGGTTAAGGTCACTTCATTCTCACGCCGCTGCAGAAAGAGCATCGGTGAGCATTAATTATAGGATATTTTTTGCGAAATAAAGTCGCCATTTAAATTAGAAACAATAAAAACGGAAATGCAGAGGCATTAATTCTTTTTTATCGTGACAATTCTAGACGATCCACTGTTCATTTCTACATTTCTCATGTTCATTCACAGGATACATCGTGCACATCAAAGCAGCAAGCGGTTCCACAGGCTCCAACAGGTCCTACAACTCCGAACAGCGGTGTTCCTCCGAGCAACATCCAAAGATTGAGTCCTTTACCAAGCCATAAAGGCATCAAGAAATTAACGTCGTTTAGGAATCGATCACCGACGGGTCAGTCGCCCGTGAACAAGACGCGCAAGCCGAGTAATCAAGTGGTAGAACCTTTACCATCGCCCAAGTCGAAGACTTGGAAGGGAAGAATGGCGAAACAATTCCGAAGAATGCACGGTCAAACGGGCGGCGCACCGTCTTCGCCCACGGCGCAATTGCCGCCGGAAGGAGCCACCTTTAAGGTGCCTCTCGAACTCTGTCCGCCATCCTCGTTCTCCGAGTGCGTGCCACTGATCGTCGAGATGTGTACGAGTATTGTCGAAGCAAGAGGTCTCGAGGTTGTGGGGATCTACAGAGTGCCTGGAAACACTGCCGCTATCGCGCAACTCACGGATAGCGTTAATCGAGGATTCGAGAATATCAACCTTCAGGTATGCCATTCGATAACGCTTTTGCACGAGATAGGTGGGAATATTTTTTCGAAACTTGTTTTCTTGCAGGATCCGAGATGGAGTGATGTTAACGTGATATCTTCGTTGCTTAAGTCATTTTTCCGTCAACTTCCTGATTCCTTGCTCACGGCGGAGCTGTATCCTATGTTCATCGACGCCGATAAGATAGAAGATCCGCAGAGAAGAATGACCACGATACGAAAATTATTGCGCGATCTCCCGGAGCACCATTTTGAGACGTTGAAGTATTTGATGCAGCATTTAAAGAAGATAGTAGAACATAGCGAGGTTAACAAAATGGAATCCAAAAATTTAGCCATCGTTTTCGGGCCAACGTTGGTGCGAGCGAGTGGTTCAAGAGACAATATGGTCACCATGGTCACCGACATGTCGCATCAATGCAGAATAGTTGAGAGTTTGCTGAATAATGTAAGTCCTTATTAAAAAAAGGAAAATGCTATCTTAACAAAATACAGACTACAAAATATGTTTCGGTTTCAATATGTTTCAGGTCGATTGGTTCTTTTCGGAGGATGATCTGGATGATTTAAGTAGGCTAAGCGTAAATTTAAGTCTTCCAACCGATAGTTGTGAGGTTGAACCGGCATCTAATACCAATCACAATCTTTTACTGAACAATATTCAGAAAATCGAAGGTATATTACATTTATTATTTTTTGTAGTTTTAAATTCAATATTATTTTTTTTCTTATACTTTTTCTATATATTTATTTCGAGTACAGATTTCATTATGTTCTTTTTTGTTTTACGTTTACTGTGACTTTGTTGTCTCTTAAAAGATATAAAGTATATATATATTTTATATATAGTAACATTATATTTATCTTGTCTTCTCTATTGGGATTAAACAGGCATGCGTGACATGGCGTCCGCTAGAGACATTGTATCCTCAATTATATCTGCGGCTAATAAAAAGATGAGAAGACGTAAAAATCAGGATGAAATCGATAACAGCGAACACGATAGCGATAAGGTTGGTATTAATCGTAATTTTTTTTATATATTAATATATTAATTTAATGTTCAATAAAATAGGCCAAGTCAAAGCAGGAATCGGAGAATTCGCCCACGATTCGGCAGAGCATGGCCTTAAACGAGCGGCAATGTTCCGTCAGCGAAATCGTGCAAATGCACGAAAGCAAGAGTCAACCGAATCATTCTACGGATCGTTCCTTGTCAGTTGACGCTAACAATAGCGGTTCGTCACACGGAACGTTTTCTTCGAATCGTACCAAGTTCGCGATTCAATCCGCACCACCGTCTGTGGACTCTACGAGACTATCGATCGATACTAATCTCAATTCGGCGGAAACGAGCTCCACCGTGTCCAGTAGTGCATCTAATCAGACAAAACAAAGCAACGACGAGATAGCGATTTTGACGTACGCCGGCTTAAGCGCTACTACACAGGAGCGAGTGCGCAGATTCGAGGAAGAAACAAAAGCGATGCTGCAGCGAGATCAGCACCGACAGAGACTCGAGGCCGAGAAGAGAGAGGAGGAGAAACGAAGAATCGAGATAGAATGGCAGTTGGCGAAACGAGAGATGGAGAACGACGATCTGCTTGACAGCATAGTCGATACCACCGTTTCGCCGAGTCTCTTGTCGGAACGTTTGTCCGATCTCAATGAGAGGCTCGCCGATAAATCGAACCTAATGGACTTATCCGAGAAACATGCCAGATCGCGATCGACCACGAGGCCACCATTATCGATAGCTGTGCAACAACAGCCCACGATACATCAAAAGGTTCAAGCTACCAATCAACTAACTAGCATACTAGGAGAGAAGATGAACAATGGCGTCATTAAGAAATTCAAGACGGATAAAGATGTAAGCTAATTTAATCGAATGTTCATTAAAGTATGATAAAAGTGTGAGTTGATTCTTTTTTCAAAAATGTCACTGTAGTGGAAAAGTTTTTAGAAAAATTTATTTGCACATTATTTTATATTATCTAAGAGACTTATCGAATTTGCTTGCTTATACGATTTTGTTGGCATTACAGCCGTCGATGGAGTCGATTTGTTTGCCGCCAGTTCGTTATGGAAGTCTGGATTCCTTGCATGAGGTTCACAATCTCTCGCAATCCTCTCCATCACCGTCGCAGCAGCAGCGTGGTGTTCCTGGCGACGGCTCAGACGATGGTTAGTATCGCATCCTTTTTTCCAATTTCACACGTGATATCGCTATTCTGAGTCTTTTCGTGATGCACTAGATACCGGAGCAAATCTTTCGTGTTGTCGATATTTCCAGAATCGTATATTGTGATAAATACGTAAAAGTGTATTTGTGTGAAGCAATGTAGAACACGTGACAATGATTCTTTTGTACCCGCTATTCGGTAAGGATAGACAATTAGCAAATTGACGCGTACAACGTTAATAAGCAAAAGTCAAAGGATCTATACATAATATATACGCCGTACATTATATATTATATGTATACAAATAGAGCTGCGCAAGGCGCATAAAAAATAGATACACGACCAGAGAGACAATTCTGCAGCGTCTCGTGCTTCATAGCGATTTAAAAAAAAAATTAGAAATTGAAATTACGTCTTGTGATATAATACGTATTTTACATTTTACGTGGATGAGTGTATTCCTATCTTGCTTATCTCTTTTCGTTTCTCCGCGAATATGCAATTTGACCTCTATTTTTCAAGTCCACGTGTACAATTACGACGCGTACTCTATCTCGTATTGTATATCTTGCCTCTATTCATATTCTTTTTATATCTTTTTTCTCTGTATAATATCGCTTCTGACGATCGGTGAGTGTAGCAGGATCTTGTTTTCTGCAGTGGACACAGAAGATACTCACTATTAACAAAAAGCTTTCTAGGTACTCCTCTTCTTATTTGCTTCAAGCGATCTCTTTTTCCTTTCGATTATTACATAATTCTTGAAAGTGTATGTTACAAAGTTATCACATCGTTGTGCGAAGACCTTTCGATTTTCTTACATTGCGTTCGCCGTTATCGTCGCGCGAACACAGCTCGGAACGTAGCAAGTTCGCATACTCCTTAGTACAAACACGTTCACGACACACGAGGCTTCTTGTAATGGAAAAAAAAACAAAAAAACAGATTTAATTTTAGAAAATATTATCTCGCATTTTCGCGATCAAGCGCAAGGAGGATCGGCCAGAAAGAGGATAAAAAAAATGAGAAATGATACTACGTATATCGTTTTCCGAATTGCACATCGCGCCTTTCGGTCGATCTTCTATTTATACGTTGTTGTCATGTGCTGCATGCCACTCTTTGGCTTTCGGCGTTGAGAAAAATAGATTTATCTCACACAACTGGGCTGCTTCTACGATTTTCAATGGTTTTCGCCCATGAATGTACAGTCGGCATCGGAAAGATCAAAATTTTGTATCTGACGTCCAATAAGGGAAAGTTGAATATTGAATATTTGATTGGAAAAATATTTAAAAAAAAAAAAAATATCTGAGCCTTTTTGATGCCGACTAATAATTGAAAAATAGTTTTTCGTCGTATGCATGTCCTTCGAGGATCTATCGTAAGCGCTTCGAATGATTCCTCGAACCGTTGCTTGCCTTCACAAAGATGATCGACCTTCTTAGAAGAGAGTCACGTATTGCGTCTCATCGTAAGTCAGCAAGTAATTTTTTTTAACGATGAGTCCGAAGACGATTGTCGCACTCGTTGACCATCGCAAGCGTTGTTTCGATGGGACGAATCTGCTCTGATTGTTAGTGAAAGTAATCTAGCCTCGCACTTTCTCGTCACACACGCGTGCATCTCCGAATCACAGTTATCTTACTGCTCGTCTGCCTGCCTGTTCTATCGTTAACGAACTGCCTCTGCCGATTGACTGTGCTCTTAATTATAAATTTATTGTCTTGCCCGCCTCAGTCTACGTCTCTTTGCGATCAGACACGCCCGAAAAGAATACGGATTTTAGTCGGCTCGAGACGACGTGCCCATCCGAGAATCCTCGGACGGCAAGAGGGGACAAAGGAGTAAAATCCGATCGATGTAAAATTCGATCTTCGTTCTCTCCGCGCTTTTCTCTCTTTTTTATTTTCTTCCGTCTCGACCAAGCTCGGTGTCCCGTCGCGCGAAACGTTTGTTTCCGCTTTTCT